GAGTGGGGAGCAGAACAGGCAGATTGATTGAAACACACTGCTGAGAGGAGCAGCGGGTGAGTCAGGAGAGGTCTGCTGCGCCACGTGGGCATCTCCCTGGCCAGGGACCGAACTCGTGCTGCAGAGGCTGTGGATAGCTTCAAAGGTTGTGTCTTAACCCCCTGTACCACCAGGAGGTCCTATGAAATAGGATGAAATAGGGAACGGAGAATGCTTATTTATATCTATGTAGTAAATACAAAATAGTGGCCACACGTGGCCATAGAACACTTGAAATGTAGCTAGTCCAAACTGTTCTGTAATTATAAAATACATACAAGATTTTGAAAAATGTATATGAAAACATTTATAATGTTAATATTGATTACAGTTGAAATATTTTGAATTTACTGGGCTAAAGAAAATATATTATAGGGCCTCCCCATGGCGCAGCGGTTGAGCGCTGGGTTGCGAGGCTGCTCGCGGCCTCTGCAGTGCCGGTTCGATCCCCGGCTGCTCCCCGGCCACAGGAGGAGGGTCCCACCTGGCGCGCAGACCTCTCCTGCCGCCCGCTGCTCCCCTCAGCGGTGTACTTCAGTCCTTCTGCCTGCTCTGCTCCCCGCTCTGGCTCTGGTGAGTTCTCTCGCCCTCCCGTGCTTCTGACTGTACCCAGTGCTTGTGTAAATAAATAGATGAATCTTTAAAAAATATATATATATATATAAATTAATTTCACTTGTTTATTTTGTGTTTACTAGAAAATTCATACTTATATATGTAGTTTGCATTTATTACTCACATTTATTTCCTTTTTTTTTTTTTTTTTTGCATAGAACTGGGGTGTAGGCCAGAGGTGCAGCAGGGTGAGAGGATTCATCAGAGACAGAGTAGGGGATAGAAAAGGCAGATTTCCTGAAATACACTAATAAGGAAGCAGCAGGTGAGACAGGAGAGGTCTGCTGTGCCATATGTGGGTTAGCTCCCTGGCGGGGAGCGAACTCAGGCTATAGAGGTGATAGTGCTGAGACTTAACCGCTGGGCCACCAGGGAGACCCTCACATTATATTTCTATTGGACAGCACTGTTGAGGAGTATTCCCATTTAGGAGGAAATTTTCTTTGGCTCTACATTTAGGCTGTGTGACCTTGGGCAAGTTGATAAATCTTTCTGCACTTCTGTTTCCTCACCTGTCAAATGAGGACAATAACAGAGCATACCTTCTCCATTGTTAAGTTAAATCACTCCAAACAGTGACTGACACACAGTGAATGTTCAATTAAGATTAGCTGTTGTATTAATTCAAAAGGGCACCTGCACCCCTATGTTTATAGCAGCACTATTTACAATAGCTAAGCTATGGAAACAACCCAAATGCCCAAAAACAGATGACTGGATCAAGAAGATGCGGTACATATACACCATGGAATATCACTCAGCAATCAAAAAAGATAAACACATGCCATTTGCAGCAACATGGACGGAGCTAGAAGGGATCATGCTCAGCGAAATAAGCCTGAAAGAAAAAGAAAAATACCGGATGGTCTCACTCATAGCAGGAGTTTAGAAAACCTAAATAAGGGACCAGGAAAAAGACTAATTATATAAAGTAAAAATCAAAATCAACAAGCAACTATAAACCAGAGACACACTACAGGGGGGAGAAGGGAGTAGGATCAAAACAAGGGGGGTGGGAATTGTATGGGGACTATAATCAAGATGAAAATGCATATATTGTGCAAAAATGAAAAATGATGTAAAAAATATTTTAAAAAAGATTAGCTGTTGTTACTATTATCAGAATCTCACAATTATACAAAATCTTAAGAGACAGTGGCCACAGAAAGAACAAGTGATTTTCAATAAATCAAGTAAAAGATTTGCCACTAATTAAAACGTGATAGAAAACCACTTGCTAAGTATAAGTTCAATGATGACTTTGATAGAGACCCAATTTTCTGGCATATAATTTATACTGAGGAGATTTCAATCTATTTACATAAACACACAATGAATAAACAGATTAGCTAATTATATTATGCACAGGTCTTGACCTCTGCTAAAGAGTTGAGGAAGAGGATGATCAGAGTGTGCTTATAACAGACAACCTAAGAGCTCTAAGTCTCCTGACTCCCAGATTCACTGGGGAAATGAGAATCTTGTGCTCTAGGAGAAAGATCCTGGACAGGAAGGAGTCAGACAAACCTAAGGCCAAAGCTGCTCTGCCATCAGTTGGCCTCGATCAAGATACCGAATCTATTTCCTCTTCGGTAAAATGCACACAGCACCAGCCAGGATGTGGAGGAGTCTAAATTAGATAATGCAAATAAACACCTAGTACCTAGTAGGCGCTCCAAAAATAGGTGCTGAGACTAAATGGGTGTTCTTTGATAGAGACTCTATGTTCCTTGGCAGAGGATGTTCTATTCAGAATCTCATCTTTGCTACAATTCCATTGCTTCATTTCCCATCTGCTTGGTCACTGAGGAGATTGAAAGGACAGTTTCATCTGTGTCTCCCTAGGACCTTGGTAGTGTAGGGCACACCACACAGTCCTTCATGTTTCTCAGTCCCTTGAACACCCGAGGTTCTTTCCCGGCCATGACGAGGCAAGCAGCAAAGTGGGCACTGTTTTCTATCGCGTTTATCCTGAGGTTCTGACATATTGACCCTGGTGTTCAGAGCACTGTGCATGTAACAGTGTAAAATAACGGGGGCATAAAGCTGTAAACCAAAGAGTCCCCGGAGAACTGCGGCCTCCCATCTCCTAGAGCAGGTCATGGATCTACTTGCTGCTCAGCTGGGAGGAGCACAGTGCTGCTGCTTTGACCATGTCCTCCTCTTTCAGAAGACTGTCCTCTGGGCCAACAAAAACACCTGTTAAGCTCAGTGAGGACCTGTGTTAACAGGCTCTAGAGAAAACACTCAGACTAGTCCCATAGAAAGGGTGGGGATCCCTGGAAGTGTTTTAGCAGGAGAGCAACACAGGGGGGTGTCCTAGATCAATGTGGGGAAGAACCTGCGGGTGGACTTACCCCAATTCTGCTGATAACCTCCCAAATTCTAGGGTTAAATTCTTTTGGGATAAGGTTTGCTCTTTTTTTTTTTTTTTTTAAAGATTTATTTATGCATACAAGAACTGGGGCACAGGCCAGAGGTATGGGGGGTGAGAGGATTCACCAGAGACAGAGTGGGGAGCAGAACAGGGAGAATGACTGAAATACACTGCTGAGGGGAGCAGCGGGCAAGAGAGGAGAGGTTTGCTGTGTCATGTGGGTAGCTCCCTGGCTGGGGATAGAACTCGTGCTGCAGTGGCTGCAGACAGATTCATAGTGCTGCGTCTTAACCCCTTGCACCACCAGGGAGGCCCCAAGGTTCACTCTTGAAATGCATTTTCTTTCCTATTTCATTCGCTCTTTTTTCATTTAATAAATGCTAAATGGTGCATAGCTGGAGTGGGGCATTTTGACAAGCCTTGCTCTGGGTCTGGCTGGGGAGAGGAGAGATGCCCACGTGCAGAGTGAACCAAGGAACAAGTGCTGAAGTGACCCCAGGAAACCTGAGCAAGGCAGGTTGGCCAAGTCAGTGGGGGAAACTGTGGATCCCAATCAGACAGATCGGAGTCTGACAATCTCAGCTTCACCACCCAGCGTGTGGCCTTTAACCTTTCCAAGCTTTATTTTCCTTATCTGGGGCAATAACATCTACTTCGTCCTGGCTGTTACGGCCACTACCCGGCCACATATAAGAACATTCTTACTACAAACCCTCCTTTATCGAGTGCTCATAGCACATCAGGCATTGTGCTTAGCACTTTATATACACCAAAGAGCTAGTGTTGCAATCCTGTGCTACAGCTGAGGAAAGCAAGTCTCAGGAACTTTCAGTAACTTGCCCAAGCTCACATGGCAGTAAGAGGTGAACCAGGACCTCAGCCCAGGCAGTCTGCCTGCAGAGCTGCTCTAAGCTGCTGTGATAGCAGGAGCCCAATAACTTTTGGGTTATTTTGAAGGTGAGGAAGGCTTTTGGTGGGTTGTTATGGAGCGGTCTTGTGCTAAGTCTTCTGCATGGACAGAATATGGAGAAGCTCTGAGAGTTAGTAGGGTTGGGTGGAGGGCAGGGGAAAGCTGTGATCAAATGGCAGGGCTGGCAGTGCCAGAGCAGTGTGTTCCGTGGGCCCTGAAATGGAAAGCAGGGTTTCATTAGGAAGTAGATGTTTGGAAAGCCTTAAATGTCCCATTAACAAGCATTGAAAAACAAAAAAGTCCATAGGCAAAGACAGGAATGTGAAACCTAAAACCACCAATTTGGGGCAGCTGACCAATCAGGCACTTTGTAGCCATGTGGAACATGCTCACCACGCCTGCCCAGAGCCAGAGCTTTGAAGAATGTGGCCAGACAGCACCACAAGCAAGGATTCCTACCAGTTTCCTTCAATTTTCAAAGACTGTACAGGCCTCTTCTTTCACCTAGTCTTCCCAGATTCCCTAAGCAACAGAAGGGCGGGAAGCCTGCTACTAGGGTTGCTGTCCATGTCAAGTGGATGGAGACATGGCTGCCAGAGCGCAGATGCCAAGTACAACTGCAGTTCCCAAACCCAAACACACGGGCGACTTTTTGTGGGAGGAAGGAGGCGAAGGCTTGCCCTCTGGACACAGGCCTTTTCTCGAAAGGCCTCTCATGACTCCCCGAGTGGCTGCTTCCCAGGATGGCGCCATGAGGGCCCGAGATGGGGTCATTTGCAAATCCCACAGCCCTTCCCGGATGCAGCACCCATCAGGCAGTGGCCCTCTCCCCTGCAGAAAGTTTGTTTCACAAAAGGGTATTTTTCTGGATTTGCCATTTTGAGTTCATTCTGCTTATTTCTCTGCAATGCAGGGACTGGAAACAAAACTCCAATCCCTTTAGGCTGGTGGGAAAGAAAATCTATCTTTTCCAATGGCTGTAGTCACAGCTGACCACCAGATTTCTCTCCATGGCTACACTTCTAATAACAATGGAAAACAAAAGCAGGAAGGGAGAGGGACACAGAATGCAGTGCTTCTTCAAAGAGGCACCTCGAGTCTGTGAAGATGGGAGGAGGTAGGGAGGTAAATTTTACAGCTGTGAGAGAGCCCCTTGATAAGTAAAGAAGTCGTTTTGATGTGCAGGATAACAGAGGATGAAAGAGATCATGGTGTTGTACTGTGTTTTCTTTGGAAAATCTTGCTAGGGTTCCAAGTGCCCTCACAGTTCTGGAAAGACAAACACACAGGTTGTAAGATCATATAGATTTTGACAAGCTGTCCAGGAATAAATCTCTAGTGATTTTGAACATATCACTAATGAGAAATGACAAATTCTTGGTAATCGAATGTTAAGGGCTCATCTTGCCACTGACCCCAGTAATGATTAATGTGTGCCAGCATACTGAACACAACAAGGTGGAATGGTGAGTTCTGAAAAATAAAATAAAATCGGGAAATAATAAAGGCACAGATGATTCAAATGGCTGGACAGCAGAAAGTTGAACTGTGGTTATTTCAGTGTGGCTTCACCAGGCAGGTTCATTTCACATGATCCTTCTGACCCCATCGCTTTTTCATGCCAATTAAGATGTTCCTGTGAGAAGCCCCCATCACCAGGCCTGGTACACAGTAGGTGCTCAGCAAATGTTCACAGCTTCTTCATGCATTTGATACCTGTGCCAGGTGTTAGAGAGATAGAAGTGAATGAGACACAGCCCCTGTCCTCCAAGAGTTAGCCAATTCTCAAATAGGACAAAGAAATGTGCAATGAACATGGCCACCTCATGATGTACCCTCCTAAGTGCTTCCTCACACCTCTGGAATAACATAACTCAGTAGGTGAGGCAAACTGGAATCTTACAAAGACTGCCAACCTTACTTCACGTCATATCTGAGGAGGTCCAGCTATGGGGTGAAGAGCAAAAGTGTAGGAGGCAAAGGCTGGTATATTTCTGAAATTTGTTGCCCAGTGAAGATGTTTTTCTTATACCAGCTTCATCTGAAAGAACTGGTCATGAAACCCTTTGCCTGCAATTAGAGCATGCTGCCACAAGGGGCACCATGAAGCAATGTGGTCCAGACAGCTGAGCAAAGCAGTCTTTCAGTTGTTAATACCTTCAGAAGAACAAAACTTGAAATTGCTCATAAAAGAGTAGTATATTTCATGGGATGAAGCCACCATAACCTATGTGGGAAATTGTGAATTGATTGACAATAATCTGACTAAATTCATTATGTGCCTACAGTATACAAAGAACAGCAGAGGGTCCCTGCTTTTAGGTACTTACTCCTTCAAGAAGAACAGACATAGACAATTTCAAAAGACTAAGACAGCTAGTAGAACAGAGGGATGTGCAAAGAGCACAAGAAGCACAGAGAGAAGAATGACACAGAGAGTAACTGTGTGTGTATGTGTGTGTGTGCTGGGTCCAAAGTTAACAGCTGAGTCACAGGATTTACAACAACACAGAAAGAAGGTGAAAAGCAAATAGGATGGAACATTTTGAGATACCGTAATGAACTGGGATTGATCTGTTGCATAGCCTTGGATATATTATCTATACCTCAACATCTGGTGCTAAGGCCTTGGCAGTGTCTACTCTGACCAACGGTATTAGAGCAACATGGAGATTAGAATCATGAACTTGATCTCCACTGGTCAAGTTTGGCCTTGTCCCAGCTCCTAGGCCTCGCATCTCTGGACCCTGGTGATGCTCCCTCGTGATTCTGGCTTCCCCAGGTTGGCCCCCTAAAGCCCTAACCGCTTCAGGCACTGCCTTGCCTCCCCACTTCATGCACTGCCTTGCCTCCTCACTAGCAAATCTTCTGACCTGGGGACTGTTACTGAGGCTGCCCATTGGAAAGCTTTGGCCCTATGAGACAGGATGACTAGTGACAGGTCAGCCCCACCCCTGTTTCTCTGGCCCTCCAGAAGAGAAAACCCTGTGGTCATCTTTTTGAAATATATCTATGTGTCAAAGCATCACACTGTATACCTTAAATTTACATAAATGTATATGTTAATAATACCTCAAAAAAATTGGAAGGTAAAAAGTAACCACCATGCTGCCCAATCTGGCCTGTGTCTCCTTCTGGATACCTTCCTGGCCCTGGGCAACTATCCTCCCCAACCAGCCTCACTCTGCTTCTGCCAAGCCCCAGCCCTCCCCCTGTCTGTGGCAGTGCCCCTGGACATGGCAGTGCCCTCCTCAGAACTGGCTCCAGCCATCTTGCAGAAATTAAAAAAAGAAAGCCAAAGTCTTCATAGACAAGTTGTTTAAAGCTATTAACCATCCAAAAGGGAGAATTTTAACATACTTAGAGCAATACCTGATGAAGAGAACAGACAAATGGAGGCACTGAAAAAGCCCTCACTGCAAGTCCATTTACAAGTCTATTTTTTTTTTAATTTTTTTTTTAAGATTTATTTTTATTTATTTATACAAGCACTGGGTAGAGTCAGAAGCACGGGAGGGTGAGAGAATTCACCAGAGCCAGAGCGGGGAGCAGAGCAGGCAGACTAACGAAGTACACTGCTGAGGGGAGCAGCGGGCGGCAGGAGAGGTCTGCGCGCCATGTGGGACCCTCCTCCAGTGGCCGGGAAGCAGCCGGGGATCTAACCAGTGCAGCAGAGGCTGCGGGCAGCTTCGCAACCCAGCGCTCAACCGCTGCGCCACCAGGGAGGCCCCATTTACAAGTCTTAAAGAGCATTTTTAAAATAATTCATGTGTCCAGGAAGTTTATGCCTGAGACTGCCAGATCCTAAACCACCTGTTAAGGTCAGAGTCAGGACCCAGGCAGCTCAGGACCCCGCCCATAGCCCCCTCACCCTGATTTTGCCATCCTGGGACTATCCCACTGCAGAGTCCATTCTGCCAGCTGGGGCCCATCTGTCCAGGCTGTTTTTCTCAACCAAGGGCCAGCTGACACCTCTTCCTGGGATTTCCACGGGCAGCAGTGATGACACTTCTCATCTTGCCCCCTCACCATCACCAAGCACCCTCTAGCTAGGGCCTGGGTGGTGCCTTCATCTCACAGGAAGCACTGGAGCACTTCCCAGGAGAGGCAAACAAAGGAAAATCAACAGAGGGCCTTTAAAACTGCTCTGCGGAGGATGTCGCCTCCACCAAAGGCGACGAGAAGGGCCGGGCTGAGATAAGCAGAGCTGCTTAGAAACCAACACAGAGGCAAATGAAAACATTCACTGGAGGATGGAGACTGCAGATCAGTGGAGAGAGAAACAAGATGTCTCCCTTCCAAATCACTGCAGAAGATAAAAAAAAAAAATCATCAGCTATGGCTCAAAAGTCAGAAAAGAAAAGAAAGGCAGCAAACACAAACAAGGTGACAGGAGGCCACCTGAAATGGTTATGACTATAAATGTGAGCATTTAACTTTCCCTTGTTAAAAGGGATTAAGTTAATACAAGAGACTCACCTAAAAGAAAACGACTCCGGGGTAGGCAAAACTGTACTAGGTAAATGCAAATGAAAGAAAAAGCATGATTGGCTCTATCAGACAGAGTGCAATTTAAAGCAATAAGCAGCGTCAAGTAAGATAAAAAAGGGTAATTTTACATTCATCGGAGCAATTGTGAAAGCATAACTGTTCTGAACAATTGTATACTCGGTATTTTAGCATTAAAATACTTGAGGCAAAGCCCGTTATGGTTAGAAATACAAGATGAAGACAGTTGTGGGCATAAATTTACATACGACTCTCAGCATCTGACATCAAGTAGCCAAAACATGTGTAACAAAAGGAGTGATAAACTGAAGAAGCTTGAGTTGAAGGTACCTTCTGAACTTGGTACCAGCCTCACTGATGTTTGCTCTGTTTTAAAAGACCATCCTGGACTGGTGTGATATAATATTAAACAGAGGACAGATTTTTATGTACAGTGTAATTATAAATGTAACTTCTAAAAATCCAGGCCACTCAAAGCATATACTAAAATGTTAGCATAGGGTGTGTTTACAGAGGTTGAAATTTAGGTATTTCAAATCTTCCCTCCAAATGTTCTTTAATGATCACGTAGTATCTGATAACTTAAAAAAAAAAAAAGAACAAAAAATAAATCCAGAGCATAGGATTTATACTTTCTAAAGTTTGAATAAAATTCAACGAACAGAATTAGCAGGAAGGAATCCCAGCGGCCTCTTCCACCTGACCTCCTGGCTCCCGCAGGCCCTCCCAGTCACTGCTCCTTGACACTCTGCCTCAACGCGTCTTCCCAGCTCAGCCTCCACCTTCTGACCTTCCCAACCTCCCGGACAGCACAAACCTGGTTGCCCCGAGACAGACGGTGGTCTCCTTGCTTCCCCCCTGGCTCTGCCTGTACCCCTGGTGATCTCACCCACTCTTGCAGGTAATGCCCCCGTATATGCCAAGGACTCCTCCATTTATCTCTAGTCCCAAGCTCATCACAGAGTTTCAAAGGCAGACGTTAGCCGTCAGCTGGCAGAGGAACAGTCAGTGAAGCCACTCTGAGCACAGGAGGGGGAGGGCTGGGGCTGAGGGGGAGGCAGGGATGCCTCAGGGGGTGGCGATGAGTGTACAGGCATCCACGGTCACATGTAGAAGGCAGCACCATGAAAGAATCAGAATCAGTCATCAGCTGAGCACGATCTTCTCTATGCAGTTTGAAAATGAAGCCTATGGCTCTGACCTATGGGACTGTAAATATGGCTGCAGCAGTCATCAAGAAACAACAAAGACAAATGTAAAAACCAGGCCCCGGCCGCCCTGACCCTTGGAGTGCTCACCCTAGATCCCTCAAAATCTCTCCTGCTCACCACACATATCCAGCTGCCCTTTGCAGAGAGCAGGCCCTGCTCCCACTGAGATTTGCTGGTTAGTGGTTTCTGGTCTGGCTTCCTGACTTTCCAAGGCAGAGCAGAAGGTCTGTAAATACCCTCAAGTCTTTAATCTACCAGCAAAAAAGAGTGAGGATGAGATCAGGTTTTTAGCTCACTGGTGTGGTATGTTAATTTAAAGGTACAGTTTCTTTTGAAAATGACAAAAATAAACTTAAGTACTAATTCTAAACGTATATTCTTATCAATTTCAGCTTAAATACACACTCTCATTGGAAAGCAAATAACTTTAAGAGAGTGTTCTGAAATTATTACATATAATTTCTTCTGGAATAGTCTGGATTGTTCTTCGGTTACCATTTTATTTTGAAAGGCAAGCATGGATGAGACCCTCCTTAGAAAAAGGTCTCTTGAAACACTATGTAGCATTCTGGTTTTGGAAAAGAGAGATTTCCAAGGAACCCTGAGCAGTCACTTAACTCTTTACATTTGCAAACTCCCCCTAGACATGAAGAAAATAATTCCTACCACAAAATACTGGTGGACAGAAAATCACGGTTTCTTACATAAAGTGCCTAGGCCAGTGCCTGCCCTGTAGCAGGAGCTCAGTAAACAGCAGCTCTTATTATTCTCATAGCAAACTGCCCCTGCCCCGGCTTTGCCCCTGGCCCGGCCCTGCCCTGCCCCTGCCAGTCAATGTGGGAAAAGCCAGACAACTGCTCACAGCCAGTAGCGGCCTACTCCGCATCCATCCTCTGCCCACTGGGAAAACACCAGAAGACACATATCTGAGTAGAAGTGACCAAAAGGACGGATCCTAGAATCTTTGTTTTTTTAGGTAAATTAGTGCCAAACTTT